TAGAGCTAACGGACCTGATTGTATATCTATCGAAGCGTGGAAATGTTTAGGTGAAGAAGGGGTGAGATGGTTAACTAAGTTATTTAATGTGATTTTACGGTCCAAGAAAATGCCTGATGAGTGGAGGAGAAGTACATTAATTCCTATTTATAAAAATAAAGGAGATATTCAGAATTGTACTAACTATAGAGGGATTAAACTCATGAGCCACACAATGAAATTGTGGGAGAAAGTAATTGAGCACAGGTTGAGATTGGAGACAAGTATTTCTGAGAATCAATTTGGTTTTATGCCAGGTAGATCAACTACAGAGGCGATTTATCTACTAAGGGGATTAATGGAAAAGTATCGTTGTAAAAATAAAGATCTACACATGGTTTTTATTGATTTGGAAAAAGCTTATGACCGTATACCAAGAGAAGTGCTTTGGAAAGCGTTGGAAAAAAAGGGAGTACGGATTGCTTATATTAAAGCCATACAAGATATGTATGAGGGGGTAAAAACTAGTATAAGAACGCCTAGTGGTCAAACAAAGGATTTTCCTATAAAGATTGGGCTACATCAGGGATCATCTCTGAGTCCTTATTTGTTCAACTTGATTTTAAATGTTTTGACGGAACATATTCAAGAGGAAATCCCGAAATGTATGCTCTTCGCGGATGATATAGTTCTTATAGCAGAGACAAGAGAAGAGGTTAATTGCAAACTTGAGTTATGGAGGAGGACATTGGAGTCGAAAGGTTTTCGTCTGAGTAGAAGTAAGACGGAATATTTATATTGTAAATTTGATAAAGGACTATTCGAAAATAATTTGGAAGTGAAATTGGGAGATCAAATTATACCTCAAGTGGAAAAGTTTAGATATTTGGGAGCCATTATCCAAAATGATGGCGAAATCAGTGGAGATATTTCACATAGAATTCAAGCTGGGTGGTTTAATTGGAGAAAAGCTAAAGGAGTTATTTGTGACCGTAAGGTGCCTAATAAACTTAAAGGAAAGTTTTATCGTACTGCTATCAGACCGGCAATGTTATATAGTAGTGAATGTGGGCTCTAACGGGACAGCAAGAGCATAAAGTTGGAGTAGCAGAGATGAGAATGTTACGATGGATGTGCGGACATACACGTAAAGATAAAATTCGAAATGAGCACATACGTGAAAAAGTGAGGGTGGCACCTATTGAGGAAAAAATGGTAGAAAATCGGTTGAGATGGTTTGGGCATGTACAAAGAAGACCAAGGGAGGCACCAGTGAGAAGAGTGGAACATATAACTTTGAGTCCGATTAAGAGAGGTAGAGGAAGGCCTAAGAGAACACTCTTGGAAGTTGTTGAACGTGATCTCTTAATTAATAATATTTCTAAAAGCTTAATAAATGATAGAGCACAATGGCGTCTTGCAATCCATGTAGCCGACCCCACCTAGTGGGATAAAGGCTTGTTGTTGTTGTTGTTGTTGTTGTTGTTGTCACTTGGTACTACTTGTGGAAAATACTAATGTTATGCATTCACCTCCCTATTACACCTGGTAATGAATATAGAAAATAAACTTCTTAATTAAGATTTCCTAATGCTCATAACATTGTAAGGGGAATGAATGATAGGAAAATACTAAGCTTAAACTAAAGGCCTCACTATTTCTATTCATTGTCTAGACAGAAACCAAGGTTCTCTCCAATCTCAGAACTAGATGGGAGGGGGACATCAGTTTCGTTGTCTTCCAAGTCAATGCTGGATTTTGATGTGTCTAAGTTTACTGGGAAACTCAAGAAGTGGCCAAGAATTAAATGGATGTGTTCCCCATGGTTGTTGTTTGATACGACGTTATAAGGTGATAGAGCAATCTTCATGAATGTGCATGAACAAAGGTTGTATATTGTCAGTTGCTGACATGTAATTGATGGCATTCTCGTAATGAAGTTAGAAGTGAAAGGTCTAAGCTCTTCCAAACATACACCAGTTGGTAAAAAGTAGCCATACTCTGCTTCTTCCCAATTTGCATTGATGAGTCCAAAACTTCGCATGATACCATAGAACACTCTGAAGCAAAAGTATGAGCTACTATACCATTCATTACTTCCAGGGTGGATGCTTTTATCTTCGTAGAGCATCATGCATAGCTCATACCTGTGTTCTTCCATGCCTTGAGTTGTTCTGATGCTAACATGGTTATCTTCAATGATGAGCAGTGGTCCACATGATATCTCAATATTGGCCACACGTCTTCTTCTCCATCTTCTCATTAGAGTAAATATGTCAGATTCATTGAAGAAGTTGTAGCCTTCCATTAGTTGATGCAGAGCACCCACTAATCCTGAAATAAATTTTTATTAGTAAGCAGGTAACTTTTCTTGAATCATACGCCTAAGATGATTCCATTTCCCTATCATGTGGCCACACATATATCTTTATAAGTTAAAAAAATTATTAAAATATTGTATTCTACTACGTACATGACTGTTAGATGAGGACAATAATTTCCATATAACGAGGATCCTAGAAGGAAGTCATTTTGAAATAACTATCTTTTAAACATCTGTCTCAGAAAATTTATTCATTTTGTTTTTATTATCTCCATACATTGGTCTGTCTATTCATCTGCAACGTCTTTCAAATATGGTCAACGTTTCCAATTTCATATGAGTATTTTAACGTCATATATAGTCAACTATACATTATTTTTATGTAAACCTTGGGATTATCATTAAGCCTAATAATAGGACTTCCTAACTCTGTCTCAATTGTCTCCTCATCTTTTTAGCTGGAAAAGAATAAAAAGCACATTCATCTATGATCTGTTACAGGATTTGACATCTATCTGCCTAGAATGAATATATTAATGAAATAATGAGCTTCTGCTATCTTCATTTTCTATGCCTATGTTGTATGCCGAATAAGTTCTATTTAATAGTGCCTCATTGAGGTTGTGTTTGCATAGATATATTAGAAATTCAGTAAATCATATCAAAAATAATAAATCCTTAAGTGAATTGTTTGTCACCCAGATATTATAACTTGATCCAAATGTAAAATATATTCCACTCATATTAGTTTTTGCAATGCTTATTTCTATTATTACCATTTTAGATTTCAACAACTATTAGTATTATCACCTGCAAGCATTTACTTTATTTCACGTTTATCAATGAAACCTATTTATTTGCTATATTAAATATATTATGTTGTCTCAATCATTTCCCAAGTTATTTTGTATGCATACAGATTACTCAGTTCAGCAGGATAGCAAATGATATTGACATAGGTCGTATATAACATCAGAATTATCATAACTTCATGAATAAAACAGCAGAGGATTTTTTCTGCCATGGTCTTACTTTAATCAAGTAACCATGACAAGTTGTGTAAAAGCCTGCTAATCATTCAACCATTACCAGTTATTTGTTCCTATTCACTTAAATTTGTTTGCACGTTGTTTGATGTTTATGCTTACAATAGTGCCTGATAATATTTTCTATGCATCTCTGACTTAATTATCGCCTTACCATTTTAGTTCTTAAGAGATATAATTATGATCATGCAAAAGATGTAACTATGCTGTAAGTTTATCAGTCAAACCCATTTGTTGACTATACTGATTATATTATACTGACACTAAAATTGGACTCTGTTGATTTTGGATGCATTTAGTATACGATCTTACTTAAATTATGTATCTGCAAGAGATTATGAAAATGCCTGGTCAAGAGGTAAGCAAGTGAATAGATCACAGTTATCATTTTAGGCAAAATTATCATAACTTCAACAAATAAGCACAAGATATTTTCTGCTACAATCTTACTTGAATCATGTATAGATCAGAGGGTATGAAAAAGCATGGTAATTGTATGAGTCATCTGTTCCTGCATACTTAAAATGATTTTCTTTCTGTTGTAGAAAATATGCTAACAGTACATCATGTTGACCCTATATAAGCATATTTTCCTTAGTTCTCCCCTTACAGTTTCGTTTCTTCAGAAAATGGTCATGCTGCTATCAAGGATGTACCTTTATCGCACGTTTATCAATCAAACCTGTTAATCTGATATATTTATTATATTGTGAAGAATCTGTATTGCAACTCTGTTTATTTTCTATTCATACCATGCATCCAGGTCAATACGTAATAAAGTTAAAAATCACAGGTAGCCAATTACAATAAAGTTTCATAACTTCTCAATGATACAGCAGCAGATATTTTCTGCAGGGATCTTTCTTAAATAAAGTAACCATGATCATTCTTGAAAAAGCATGGAAATTTCAAGTATCTATCTCTGGGTTCATTGTCCCCTTACTATTTCATTGATTTGGGGATATGGGTTTGTTCACTTCAGAGGTGTATCTAAGTGGCATGAGAAACGATCAGGCCTTTTTATATGATATATTGATTATTGTATGCTGTCACTGAGCTTCTGCTCTTTTGATATAATATTCTAAATAATAAACCGTGATAAATTATACCAACAAGAAATATCTTCCTAAATGAATGATTCTTTAATAAATGGAGTAACTATTGTCAAATAGCCTTTTAATGCAGTATTACAATAAATTTATTAACTTAAGAAGTTATCCTATAAGTACATTCTCCTATTATCTGCATAAGAGATGAAATCACTTCTTGGAGTATTAAGGAATTTGCTGGAAGGTTCTTAGAAATATTAAGGGGTTTAGTAAACGTATCATAGTCAGGTACTATGACGATATAGGAAAACTTACACAAGTATGTAACTAACCTTAAAATTGATAATCCACACACACCACACATACACACACACACTTTTCACTATTTTTAAACATACAAAGTAAATCTTGAGGAACATAATTTTTTTTGTTTTTTTATTACATGGTGAGGGATTGCTGACATTGTCATTTTAATATTTTTCCCACAAGATGATACTACAGTAAATTGTTATAAATAGGTCTTCATTTGCAAGATTCATTGCCAAGCAACAGTCCTAAACTTGAGGCTTCTTACTGCTTACTTTACCATCTCTTCCTTCAATCATGTCTCCGCTCAAGTGTTCTATGATCAAAGACTTGCATGATGGGACAGATCACTGGGCTATTACTGTTAGAGTTTTCAGAAAATTTAATGTCTATCATAGGACTCATCCCCATGATTTGTTTTGTGTCACAATGATTCTTCTTGATTAGGAGGTTTTTACATTTTACTTTCTGATCTTTTATGCTTGCTGATTATGCAGATTCATGGAATAGTGGTAGTCTAACTTTGTCATTTTACAGGGAAATACAATTCAAGCATCTGTGATGAACAAGTCATTATTCAATCAATACCGTCAAAACCCTATTGAAGGACAGGTGTGCTTTGTTAAAACTTTTCTGGTGTCTGCTAACTCTAACCAATATAGGCCAACCAACCATCCTTTCAAGATCACATTCTCACAACAGACATATGTGAGGGATCATGTTGCTGATTTACCACATTATGCTTACAAGTTCTTTCCAATCAGTGAGATCATTCAACGATCAGAAAATGAACCATTAGAGCATCTTACTGGTATTGCTATAGAAACACTTCATCACTGTTAAGTCATCTTATTCCATTCATATAAGGTTGTTAAAGGTCTGATTATTTATTGCTTTTATAATCTCCAGATGTCATTAGTTTTGTCTCAGCTATTGGACCTCTTGAAGAATATCGTATTGTTAATGAAACCAAGCATAAGTGGAAGATAAGCATTGTAGACAATCAGTTGAGTAGAAATTTAGACACATCATTGTACCTTATTTTGTAGCAAAACTATTTCATGAAAATACTCATCTATTTGTTTCAGAGGCAATGCTGTGGACTGTATTCTGTACGATGAATGTGCCACTAATGCATATCAGAGTCATCTTGAGAATCCTCAAATCCCTACTGTTGCCTTGTTAAATCTTTGCAGGATTGGCTTCTCTGAGGAAGGTACACTTCTAACATAGGCAAATTTATTTTATTTCATACGTACTGTTTTAATAGATTAGTAAACTAAATGCATTCATTTGGTTACATTCTATTTAAGGGAAAGCACAGGTCTGTAGTTCTTTCCATGCCACAAGGGTTCTGTTTAACCCTAATATTAATGAAACAAAGGATCTCATTGAAAGGTTGTATATATTTCTCAAATATGGAAATAAAGTTATTTCAAAATAATCATCGTCACTGCCATTTCAGTTTTAAATGTTTGCCCTTGTCTGTTTCTATATAAACAGTTCCAAAGGCATGGAGTCTCCAATTCTGTCAATAATAAGTCAGCCTCCTTAGAATCAAACTACCCAAGCTTCCGCTAATACTCTTCTGCGTTCCCATGAATTGATTAAGATATCTGAGATTCAAGAACAATCAGTAGTAAGATACCTTGGTATAAGTCATCTTTTAATCTCATGCCAGTTTATAATATTGTTGTTATTAATAATCACAGGATTCAAGCTTCTTAATCATGGCTGAAATTATAAAGCTAGAGACACGCCATGGCTGGACTTATGAGGGTTGTGGTAGATGTGCAACCAAGCCAAGACTAGAAAATGGAAAACAAATGTGCACTTCTTGTAAGAAGCAGCCTGATTCTATTGAGTCCAAGTAACACTATACCATTATTGTACCATTACTGGGTATTTATATCTAAATGCATGTCCATTAATTTCAATCTGTTCTCTCATTAGGTTAAAGGTGCATTACATTGCTGCTGATGATTCTGGGAAGGTGTCCTTGGTCTTTTGGGATAAGCTTGCATATCAGTTGCTGCAAAAGAATGCTCCTGAGTTAAAATTGGAACTTCTACATGTAAATAACATCTGACAATAAATATTATGATAAAAAAGCAAATTAATTTTTTTCTTTAAATATGATTATCTCTTCTATTCACTATAAATAGGAGGAGCGAGCATATGATTTCCCAGACATACTTGATGACATTGTTGGTAAGAAGCTACTGATGAAGCTGAAACTTAACCAATATAACAAGGATTACCCTAATTCTTCAATCAGCGTGATTCAATATTATGAGTGTCAAGACTTGATGGAAGAATTCAACGGAGCTGCTGCTATTGTACATCTCTAAATACTTATTTGAAAGATAAATATGTCAATTTTAATTTCATGGCAAAACATATTTATGTGAAATTTCTTTCTTGCTTTTAATGTTTAGGATCCAGATGGTGCTTCCCCATCTGCAGGCATTGATCACACTAATTTGAAGGTGAAATCATCTAAACTTTATTATGTATTTGCACCTTATATTATATGTTCCTTAATTCCTAATCATTTTTCCTTTAGGAGCCAATAAATGTTGAGGTTGCCAATGATAAGCATGAAGACCATGTTCCAACTTCTCAGGCCTTAGACATAAACTCAGAGACTCAACACCTTGATGACATGCCAATAACTCAAATCATTCCATTGGGTACATCTAGGGGGAAGAGGAAGAATGCTGGTAAAAAGAGTGATTGCTATGTTTATAAGGTGAAGAATGCAAGTGAAGGTTCATCCAACGGCTCTATTGTGAAGCCAATGAAGACTATCAAGCAAGAGAAAAATTAGGTTGTCTTTAATTAGTTCTTCCTTTAGGTGTAGTTGGTATCATCCCTTTATGCTTTGTGCGTTCCAGTTACTTTGTAGGACTTTATTCCAGTTGTTTTTAGATTTTTAGATGTTTGTACTGGGTAAGCATCTAAAGAGATTTAAATGCTTGGTGGTTTGCTTCCTTATGTACTCCGATTTCAGTTATTAAAGTTTTAATTTTACTTATATTATAATATTTGTTTCTTCTACTTTATCAACAATTAGTTCACAACATTCTAGAATGATATAGAAACTAAGTACAATTAATAATTTCAAATAGAGACATGTTTTAAGCACTACTTGAGGTAAGTAAAAAAATCTTATTAATGTTGTTAAAATAGGACATTTAGACATCTTAGTCTTAATACTGTTGATAATTAAATAAAATTATGATCAGTGAAACAAGGTTTTTTGTTATATTTGTTATAAATTGATTTCCATAATTCAAGTATAATTCAAACAATGAATACAACACGGTTAACTAAAACTAGGTTTTGAGCATCAAATTATTTCATAAAATAAATAAAATTGGCATTAAACAAACAACTTGGTGAAGTTAACTACTCCAGACAATAACTATTCATGAAATGGTGTTTTATTAAATGCGTATTTGTTATGTCAATAAGCACACATGTTTATATAGCATAAATAAGTGTATAACTATCATGTCACAGTCAATCTCACCGCACTTTAAGATTTTATAAATTAATTTATTTCCTTTAAATTCCTCACATATTTAAAAATGATGTGGACTGAGGCAATAAAAAAGATCTGAACATATGTATATAAATACAAAAAACACCAATAGCCATCACAATCAATCTGAGTATATTGCCTTGGGTAAAGACAACGAAAGCTACATATCAATGATACAAAAAATAAATAAATAAAACCTTGCGCGTAATATATTGACGAGAAGACATCATAACAGATAAAAGACAGACTTCTTAGCAGATTGATATTTCTTATCATCAAAACTTCTTGAAGACTCTAAATCTAGAACATATCTGTATTCTTATCATATTTCATCCTTAGCCTCAATACTCAATCAAAATGACGAGGCCAAAAAAGCGCAAGAACTATTCAATGTCTCTTGATGTCATGGAAGACCGAACAAACATTCCATTCAATACTTACAGGTTTGTATGTCCATTGATTTGAGGTTTCAGTTTTAATTGTATAACATTTTTTTTTACTTGGTGTATGACATGTTAGATGCAGAAAATCAACTGCATACTCAACCTTATGAAGTTTTACAAAGCAGAGAAACAAGATTGGCAATCAACTGTGTAAGAAAGAGCACTCTACAAGACTTCTCAAGAATATCCTCTAACCTGAACGAAAGGTTTGATGAAGCAATTTATACAGGTACTGATTTTTATTTTAATGACTTTAAAAAATTGCACCTACCTTAAAGTAATAGTGCCTGATTGTATATATGATTATACAGAAAAAACATCAACCAAAATCACAAGTCGTAGAAGTTCTAGATTATCCTTTTTTGAAAATCTGGGTGCAAACGCAGAAAATACACCTCCATCCAGTTCTTCTCAAGGTAGAAATATTATTCATGTTGTATTGTTCTTTTTTATGGAGACCATGAATTTTCTTTTATATATTTAATATAAAGTTACTTATCAATCTCTATTATGTATAAGGAATGAGATTTAAGAGAGTAAGGAAAACAACAAGCTTGAAAGGAAAACGAACTATCGACCTGACAAGCAAAGTATGTAATGGAGCAAATATTACACCCAGTGTTTCTATGCTAGATACTGAAGGTAGACAAACAAATACTGTTTTATTTTATTAAACCTCAATGTAGAGTTAGATGTTAATAATTTTAAATTAACTCCATTCCAAAGGTCATGTTAATAACTAAAATAAAATAAGTCCAAGCACCATCTGAAATCATATTACATTAATTAAAAGTACAAGATGTGTCATGCAGACAATCGATACAAGGATACTCATTTCCAGTTTGATGATCATCTCAGTTCTGATAGCGAACAATCTCAAACTGCTAATTGTGATGTAGGTAGTACGTATACTATCATTAAATCATATAATTTTTTTATGTTTATTAGTCATCCTTCATATATCATCATAATCGGACAGGTATGAACAATGATGATGCTCAAGTGTCACCCACTAATCAAGATTCCTCAGGTTTTACATATATCATTTAGTGATTTATAGCATCTTTAATTACTCAACTTTTCAAATTTAATTCCATAGTTTCACTAATTTATGTGGACAGATTATAATGATTTAGGAGATCCAACATATCAATGCAATTATTGTGGAGCTCTTATGTGGTATAATGAAAGAACAAAACGTGATGGGAAGAAAAGAAGGCCTTCATTTTCACTGTGCTGTTTGAAAGGAAAATTGTGTTGCCATCATTACAGAAACCACCGCTACAGCTCCTATCTTTATTTGTAGAGAAGAAATCACGAAAGTCAAAAAATTTCAATTCAAATATAAGGGCATACAACAATATATTTTCATTCACATCTATGGGAGGTAAGATTGACCACTCTAAGAACTGTGGTGGTCGTCCATATACATTTGTATTATCTGGAATGAACTATCATACAATTGGAAGCCTTTTACCTACACAAGGTTGTAGGCCTGTATATTCGCAGCTTTATATATATGATACAGAGAATGAGATTTCAAATAGGATATCTGCAGTCAGGTAAATTTTTGATTTCTTTTAAATGTTAAAAATGTATGTTCATTATCCTTTGGGAAATATTATTTATAACTTGTATCTGAAATAATGACGCCATTCTATTTCATGTTGCAGTAAAAATATGAAGCAATCAAGTATTGATCCAGTCATTGTAGATGAAATTAAAACTATACTTGATACGGTAAACTCGTTTGTGAAGCAATATCGATTAGCTTCATCAATGATTAGAACTAAGAAAAATGGCAATCTCAAGTTATGCCTTATCAGTTCAAGAGTTCATGATGGTCGCACATACAACTTGCCATCTACTTCTGAGGTTGCAGCATTAATAGTTGGTGACATTGATCTGCAGTTTAGTAGAAGAGATGTGATTGTTGAAGAAATAGATGGATCTTTGCAACGAATTGATGAATTACATCCATCATATCTTCCTCTTCAATATCCAATTTTGTTCCCTTATGGTGAAGATGGTTATAGAGATGATATAGAACATAATGTTGACTCGACCAATACAAGTGAAAAGAAGAAAAGAGTTAGCATTAGAGATACTTTGCATATAGATTAATGACAAGAGCTAATGAGATGAGTACAATACTTATTGCCGGTAGATTGCTACAACAATTTATAGTGGATGGCTATACAATGCTTGAGTCACAAAGGTTGTTATGGGTTAAGACCCATCAAAAGGAGTTGAGGGTAGATCTATACCAAGGATTGTCAGATGCTTTATTAAGTGGAGAAAGAAATGCATCATCAACAGGCAAACACATCATTTTACCATCTTCATTCACAGGAGGTGCACGATACATGTTGCAGAATTATCAAGATGCAATGGCTATTTGTAGGTGGATTGGTTACCCAGATATATTTCTCACTTTCACATGCAACCCTGCTTGGCCTGAAGTTATTAGATTTTGCAAGAAACATTCACTAAATCCATCAGATAGGCCTGGTATTTTATGCAGAATCTTTAAATTGAAACTTCAGCTACTACTTCAAACTATCAAGGAGAAAAATTTTTTTGGAACAGTTAGAGCAAGTTAGTAACATCTTCATCATCCTTAAATCGTTGCTTTAAAATATTTGTCATTCCCTATTTTACTTAGTTAAAAATTTCATTAGTAGTATATCTCTTATCTATATTTTGCAGAAGTCTACACAATTGAGTTTCAAAAGAGAGGACTTCCACATGCCCACTTACTATTATTTCTTGACAAATCTGACAAGTTTAAAAATCCTAAAGATATAGACAAGATGATTCATGCATAAATTCCAGACAAGGAAAAATCGCCGAGACTATATGATTTAGTGAAGAAGTACATGATTCACGGTCCATGCGGAAATTCAAACCCAAAATCACCTTGTATGAAGGACAAAAAGTGTAGCAAGTATTTTCCAAAGAAATTCAATGATGAAACAACAATTGATGATGATGGGTACCCTACTTATCGAAGGCAGAATGATGGAAGGTCCATTGAGGTCAAAGGTATTCATTTAGATAATCGTTATGTTGTCCCTTACAACCCTCTATTATTGCAAATGTTTCAAGCTCATATCAATGTTGAAAAATGCAACTAGTCAACATCGATTAAGTACTTATTTAAGTATATTAGTAAAGGAAATGACAGGGTTGTTGCTTCAATATATGATACAAGCAATGAATGACATGGTGAAAGATGTACAGATGAAGTGCTACAATATTATAATTGTAGGTATATATCTTCATGTGAGGGTGCATGGCATATATTTGCTTTTGATATCCATCATAGATTTCCACCTGTAGAGAGGTTAAGTTTCCATCTGCCTAACCAGCAATCAATTATTTATAGTAGTAACGATGATGTTGCAGAGCTTTTAGACAAGCCAAGTTTGTGAATCAATGTTTTTGGCATGGATGAAAATGAATAAGGAAGATACATTTGCACAGACTTTAACTTATTCTGAATTCCCTCACTATTATGTATATCAAAAGGGGAAAAGGAGCTAGAAAGAGAGGGAAAGAGGATTTGCAGTTGGTAGAATTACACATGCAACACCATCTTCTGGAGATTTGTACTATCTTCGAGTCTTGCTAACCAAAGTGAAAGGACCAAATTCATTTGATCAAATCAAGACTGTAGATGGTATCACTTACCCTACTTTTAGAGCTGCATGTTTTGCACTTGGATTGCTTGATGATGACTCAGAGTTTGTAAGAGCGATCAGGGAAGCATCTCTTTGGGCTTCAGGAATTTTACTTAGAAAGATGTTCGTAAGCATGCTCTTATGTTGTTGCATAAGC